GCGCCTTCGGCCGCCGCGCCTTTGCTCCGGCCGGGCAGGTCCGGCGGCCTCTACACCCTCCGGCCAAGCCGTCTTCACCTCGATCTCGTACAGCGGCGGCTGCTGCCCTGAGGATTTCCCACCTTGGTTGCTTAAGAAGGATGTGATTTTTTTCTTTCTATTCTTTTTCCATTTATGATTTGAAAAAGAGAAAAGAACACACAGCCAGCTGGGACAGCGAAGCGCCACCGTCTGCCCCCACGTGGACACCTCCAAGGAGAAAGGGAGTTGGAAACTAACTTGGTCCAGCTGGCCTTGAGGCCTCGACTACGGCTGGACTCCAGGGCGTGGGGTCATGACTCGGACTCTGGGCAGGTGGAAGGCTTTACCTGTCCTCGGCTGGACTTGAGCCCCTGTTCTCGCCAGCATTAACCCCTCTGATCCCTCCAAAAACACACGTACCCACACTCCCAGCACCGGCCTGCGTTATGGATAAGTACGACGACCTGGGCCTGGAGGCCAGTAAATTCATCGAGGACCTGAACATGTATGAGGCCTCTAAGGATGGACTCTTCCGAGTGGACAAGGGTGCAGGCAACAACCCTGAGTTCGAGGAAACACGCAGGGTGTTTGCCACCAAGATGGCCAAAATCCACCTCCAGCAGCAGCAGCAGCAGCTCCTGCAGGAGGAGACCCTGCCCAGGGGAAGCCGAAGCCCTGTCAATGGTGGGAGCCGCCCAGGCCCCCAGGCCCCCCGGGAAGCTGGTGCCGGCAGCAAGCTGACCATGGACGGTGCTGCCAAGCCCCCTCTGGCTGCCTCAACAGTAACTCCTGGGATGGCCACCACCATGGCTGCTGGGCAGCCCCTATACGTACCGCAGGAGCAGAGGGCCAGGCCGTATGTCCGTGGCACAAGGCCTGGCAGTCAGGACTGTGGTTCCAAGGAGAACCTGGTGGTTTCTGAGATGTCTGCTCTCCATCGGCCAGGGCCCTGTGAGGATCCTTCCTGCCTCACCCACGGAGACTATTATGACAATCTCTCCTTGGCAAGCCCAAAATGGGGTGAAGAGCTGGGAGTGTCCTCCAGCACGAGGCTGGGTGTAGGGAGTGGGTGGCTTGGCCCCCCAGGAAGTGATCCGGCACCATCCAGACCCTCCAGGGACCATCACCTGTACCAGCCACAGCTCTCCCCGAGCTCCAGCAGGCCGTTTGAGAGTGGCCAGGATGGTGGTGTCGATGGTCGCAGCAGTGAGAAGCCAGCGGGCCTTTGGACCACGGCGTCCTCCCAGCGGGTGAGCCCTGGCCTTCCTTCCCCAGGTCCGGAAAACGGGGCCCTCCTGGGGCCCGCTCAGCCCAGGACCCCTTCTTTCTCAGCACCTCTGGCCCTGGGCTGCCCCAGTCAAGGAGCAGTTCCAAGAACAAACTCGGGGTCGGGGAACGAGGTGTCAGGCATGATGCCCAAACCAAACGTGGACCCTCAACCCTGGTTCCAGGATGGGCCCAAATCTTACCTTTCTAGTTCTGGCCCATCATCCTTGCCAGCCAGCATGGACAGTTTGCATTTGGGTCCGGCCCCTGGGCTGGGACCCAAGCCTGGCTGTGCAGACCCTGGCATTGGTCTCAAGCTCAGCCCCACCAGCCATGTCCATCCAGTGATGTCCACCCTGCCTGAGTTACCTTGTAAAGAAGGTCCCCCTGACTGGTCTCCTGATGGCAGCCTGGGGCCTGTGCTTCCGGAGAGCCCCAGCCACAGAGTGAGGCTTCCCTGCCAGACCCTCATCCCAGGCCCTGAGCTTGGGCCCTCCGCTGCTGAATTGAAATTAGAAGCCCTCACCCAGCGTCTGGAGCGTGAGATGGATGCTCACCCGAAGGCCGACTACTTCGGTGAGTGAGAGGCTGGTGGCTTTGCCCACAGTGGGTGATGGGGTCCCCACCACGGGTGCTGTGGCTCTCTTTGAATGGCCTGCCCCCTTTCTCCTCCCCCACCCCCAGCTTCCTCTTTCAGCTGCTGCTTTTGATTCAGAATCTTGAAAGCATCCCTGGGTAGAAAGCGGATCTTGCAGCTGGGGGTTACCCATGTGCGAAGGGTGAAGCAGGGTGGGATTGCTCGTGACTACTTTCAAAAAAGGGAAATGCTGTGACTTTGGTTTTCAGGGGTTTCGGGTATGCCTTAGAGCCTCTCGCTGTGATTGGCTCATTCAGGACTTGAATGGCAGTAGCTCTGTACAGCCGTGCGTGTGTGCGTGTGTGCGTGTGTGTGTGTGTGTGTGTGTGCAGTGTTGTGCAGGTACTGTGTGCAGTTGAGGCAGATGTCATAGGAACATGGAAGACTTGGTTCTAGAGCAGTGATTCTCAGAGTGTAGTCTCTGGACCAGCCCCATCCCTTCACCTGGGAACTGGTTAGAAATGCAAATTAGAGGGCTCCACCCCAGACAGACAGACTGCATCAGGAACTTGGGGGTTGGGACCTGGCAATCAGCATTTTCATAAGCCAGCCAAGTGATCCTGACGCTTGGGGAAATTTGGAGAATTTGAGACCTGTGAGCTAGGTGCCTACTAATTCGGCACCCCCACGTGGTTCCAGCAGCCAGGTTACCCCGTAGTTGTGGCTCACGATAGGATGGAAGATGCGCTTTGCTGGCTTTGCTTAAACGTGCAGATTTTGTTTTATTCTTTTTTTAAAAAAAACCACAGACTCCCGGAGACTGCTGGCTTCAGCCTTTTTTTCTCCACATAGGGTTTGGAGGCAGCAGAAAAGCAGCTCTGTTCTGTGGATCAGTGATGTAGCCATCTCACAGGAGAGCAAACTCGAAAGACAGCCTATTTTTAGAAGAGTCTGAGGGTTTTTTTTTTGTTTTTTTTTGAACTCTAGCGTCTTGGGGTCACGATTGCTCCCTATGAGGCCAGAGAGCCCTGGGAAGCCAAGTCCCACTGGGGCGGCAGCTCTGCCATATGGAGGAGGGCGGGGCAGGGAAGGTCCGGGAGGGGAAGAGGCCCGCCTGCTGCTTTCCGCCTGTCCCGTTCTCCATGAACGGACGATTCTGTCCCCAGGTGCTCGGAGGGGTCCAGGCTCCCGCGGGAGCACTGTATTCTTGCTCCTCCTGAGAACCATCCAGGGACCAGTGACCGCTCTCAAAGCACCCCGGGCAGTCAGAGGTCGGGGTGATGTGTGTCGGCTTATGTTTTTGAGTGCATAGCACCATCTCACTGAGAACCGTCTCTTCTCTGCAAATCACTCCCTTTGGGAATAATGCTTAGCTGGCCGTACTGTGGGTTTTTTTTTTTTTAACTTAAACTTTTAATCTTTAATTTCAAGCTCACTAAACAACAAAACAGCAGTTGAATTTTTTCAAGGAGGCACGCTTACACTCGGATCAGGGTGGGGACACTGGCCAACACCATCCATTCGTTCAACACGTGTTTATCGAGCACCGACCGCGGGCCATGCGCTGCTTAAGGCCCTGGGGTGCAGAGGAAACAGGACAGAAACCTCTGTGTTCCCAGAGCAGACAGTGCTGGAGAAGGTGACAGGAGAGGACAGAACAAACAGCAGCTTCCAAGCAGAGGAAGAGGGAGAGGAAGGGGTGGATCCTGGGCAGGGGTCGCCGGGGGGCGAGGGGGTGGGTTCCAGTTTTAAATCAGGCAGTCAGGGATGGTCCCACCGAGGAGGTGGCATTTGAGCAGAGGCTGGGAATAGGTGAGGGGGTGGACGGTGCATCTGCCCAGGGACAGCGTGTCCTCAGCAGGGCAGACAGCAGGAGCAGAGGCCCTGGGGACCCAGGCTGTGCCAGGCGCTGGGCTCTAGACGCTTGACGTGGACTGTTCAATATACTTGTGACAACAGCCCAGGGAGGCAGGCTCTGTTGTCGCTATGCCTGTTTCACTGACAGGAAACCAGGGCTCGGAGAGGTGACGTACCCGACGTCTCACAGGCGATGCTGGCTGTCGCTGGCATTTGAGCTCCACCATTCGGCCACCATGCCCATGCTTCTAACCAGCAGTGCCAAGCTGCACCGGAGCTTAGATGAAAAACCTTTCATTCATTCATTCCCTCATTTTTATGTTTTTTAAATCGAGGTAAACTTCACATAACATAAAATGAGTCATTTTAAAGTGAACAGTTCAGTGGCATGTAGTACATTCACAGTGTTGTGCAAATACCCTCTGTCTGGTTCCAAAACATTTTCTTTTCTTTTTTCTGAGTGGTAAATACTCTTTATTTGATGATGTACATAAACCACACAAATGCCTTTAGGTAAAAGGCGACAGTTTGGATACAGGGAATTTAATTAAATCAGTATAGTTAGGACCAAAAAGATAAAGTGGACATTGTCACCCTATCTTCGGCCCTTGCCTTTTTAACAGGCCGATGAACACAACCTGAAACACAGCCAAGGCTCGCTGTTCCATGAGACAGCGAAGGGATTTCCTCAGCATTTGAACATATTAATATAACCAGTTATGTAAATCTAAATGCAAAACCAATCTCTACAGGTGTTCAGACGACATCCACCATTTCTGTGAAAAACCCAACCTTACTAATCATGTCCAGTCATGTCTTTAGACGGTGGAAACAGGGCTAGCACTCACGGGACCAAAATTACCATCGAAGTTCAAAAAACTGATCATATTCGTTGTAACCACAAGCCAGACTTATTTAAATGAGGACCGCCCTAAAGTAATGTTGTATCAGCCGTTCACGATCTCAACTCTGGTGTACGAGATCAATTTAAATATGGTACACATTAAAAAAAAGTCATGAGATTTATATTTTGTAATAAATAAGGCAGTGGCCAACTCTTACTCCGTAGTAGCTTTTTTGAGATAAGCTGTCAAGTCTGCCCTTTCTCCAGACCCCTTAATGCCAGCAAAGATCGTTTTTGTTTCAGGGATGTACTTCTGGGGATTCTCCCAGTACTCCATCAGCGTCTCCTCTCCCCGGGTGATGCTTTGTTCTTGTTGGCATCCGTGTAAGAAAATCCAGGGGCCTGACCTGTCTTTCGCCCGAACAGACCACAGAGACTCGGCCCAGTCTCGGGCTTGCCCCGCTGTCCCACAGTATGGCGCAGGGCACACTCCTGAACCAAAGCTGCTTCCCCTCCTCAACATCGCCCGTTTTTAAACTGCTCTTTCGTCACATGAGATACTGAGACTCACGCTCGCAAACCAGACGTCCCGCGCTCTCCCAAGACATTTTCATCCCCCAAAAGAAACCCCGTTCCCACAAAGCCCCCAGTTCCTGGAAATCACCAATCTATGTTCTGTCTCTGGATTTACCTATTCTGGATATTTCATACAAAGGGAGTCTTTTTGTTTATTTCTTGACTATGCATTACACTTACATGGAGAAAATTCAAAAGATGTAAAAACACATATGGTGAAAAATTAGTCTCCTTCCCACCCCCATTTCTAGTCAGGTGTCCTGGGAATAATGAATATACGTGAATCGGTCTGTTGGCAACGGTGGCTGCGTGCCGTCCACCTGCTCTTTGCCTCTGCCACCGAGCAGTATGTCTTCGCAGTTCTACGTCAGCATGTGTGGCGTTGGCTCAGTGTCACCGTTGTGTGGATGTGCCCCGGGTCACGTGAGCAGCCCTCGTGGGAGACCAGGTGCAGGCGGAGCTGTGGGACAAACTCCCAGGGGTGAGATTGCGGGGCTGGGGGCTTTGTGCCCTTCAAATGTTGCCTGGTTGTGCTCCTTGGAGCCTGAGCTGGGACACCCCACCGCCCGCCACGTAGGAGAGGGTCTGCCCCGTGCCCGCAGCAGCCACCGAGCTTCCGTCCGCACTGTGACCGGCCATGTGGCAGGGGAGAAAGTCGGTCTTCTGAGCACCTGGCAGTCAGTTCCTGACCCAGCCCCGCCTGGGACCTGGAACAAACCCTGTTCTCCGCCAGGCCTCACCGCCTCGTCTGTATTGCGAGGAGGCCAGGCCAGCTGGGGGCTCGCCACACAGATGCCTTTTTCTTCTCTAGATCTGGCGTTGTTTGAAAGATTTTGTCTATTTAACATACTACATTTGTTAAATAATGATGAAATTTTCCTTCCAAATAGAAGGATATTTACTGATCCAGGGCTCTTGCCATAGAGAATCAGGATAACGGAACTGTCACCATCACGATCATCGTAATTCTAGCCAGAAGCAAAGTGGATGTGTTGGTTGGTCACCTAGGCCCCTTCCTGGATCGGACACAGGTGTCCCTGTGGGTATTTGACATTGTGGGAAGAGCTTGTGAATCTCTGCCACCACCTTTGAGAACGCTGAGGTCTGAAGACACCTTGGAGTGCGGTTATTGATCAGTTCATCCCCGAGGACTCTTCTGGCATGTTCCATGGCCGTCTTTGTGGGTTGGTCCAGTGTGGTGCTAAGGAGGCATTTCTGCCCCGTCTTCCTTCTCTGGGATCCCTCTGTGGCATCTTTGTGTGTTTCTGTCCATGAGAAAAGAGTTAAGGACAAAGTCCTTCCCAGGCCTGGCTCTCGGAGGACAGCGCCCAGTGCGGTGTGGGCGGCTTCTGTTCGAGCACCGCGGTTGAACAGAGGGAACAGAGAGGGGCTCCTGCCTTTTGTTGAATCTTTCCCACCTTTTCCTCCGCGGCGTCCACCTGTCTTTTTCATACTGGGCCTCTCCTCCCTTTCTAAAGAAAAAGGGCACAAATAAACCACCTGTCACAGGCCGGGTTTCCTAGGAAGCTGACTGAGACAGAGTGTAGTGTGCAGGTGGCTTCTTAGGGTGTGGGGGGCGGGGAAGGAAGCAGGGCGGGCAGTGGAGCAAGCCCGGGCCGACCCCGCTGGGAGCTCGGGGGCCGGAAAAGCCCGTCAGAGATGTCCCCAGTTGGGGCAAGATGGCCTGGCTTTCACACTCCCCATGGGTCAGTCATCAGGTGT